CCCACCCCCACCCCGAACCCCTGCCTCCCATGATCTCAAGACCAAATGACCATACGTTGAAGGATAATACCTGATTCAGTTTGGCATGGTGGCTGGTTAAATAAGTAAATGAAATCACGGATAAATAGTTCTTTACCTTAAAATGTTGTTTTAATGTGTTTCACGGTGCCTTATTAGTTGGAAGGTTTAAAGAACAGGATTAAAGCAAGGAATGTTGACATATTTTTCTACTTTTTAAAATACATTCATAATCATAAGGCAAATGAGAAAATGCAAGTATCTTATCCAATTTTTGAATTTCATATTTTCAGTTATAAAGCTTTAGAAGTGACTGTAAAGGAAGAGGAGTTTTTCTCTTTCTAGTTTTGCATATTTTAGAAAAATCTTACCATTTGTAACAAATGACATCAGACTTTGTAATTGTATGAAAGATTTATAGCTATTCTGGAGAAAAATTGTTGACAAACTATTGTTTTATCGTTGTGCATATTGATGATTTGTTGGGTCGGGTCTTCAAATATAAAAAAAAATAAATCATTGTGGACACCAGATTTATTTAGTTTTTATTTTCATTTATGGAGATAACGATTTTTGGTCTAGACATAGGTGTACCTTTTAAGCGGTAAATTTCATCTGAATGTAGTAGTGAACCTCTTATGTTGTATTTCTTATTTCTCTGTTTTAGTGTAGCGTGCATGCACTTTTGGCCTTCTTTTTCTCCCCTTCCCCCTGTTCACTGGCTTGTCTCTCCGACACATTCCGACACTGGTACAGATTTTCTTGCCTCTATTTTAAGTTCCATATGAATGTACTCTCGATTAAAATCTTGTGTTTTTATTTTTCTACTAAGACTAATTCGTTTTAGATACAATCTACGCGCTACTGTTATTATGTATGATGAATACTTGATACTATTAAGTTTAAATTATTTGATCCTCCCTATCTCATCCTTTTAGTCATATCATGGAAACCCTGTAAAAAAAAGTAATAAAAGTCTGTATTTAGCATTATGTTTGAATTGATGACAGTCTTGTTTTGTTTATGTTTATGTACATATATATATCGTTGGCTAGGTGCAAGACTCCCAACAAATATCAGTTGGAAAATGGCATTTGTTGGGGTCTTGCATCAGGCCATTAATATAATATATGGATGATTATATATATATATATATATATGTGTGTGTGTTTATATATTGAGATATATAAAAGACCCCCGTATCAATGTGGAAAAAAAGGAGTCGGTTTATATTTTGTCTTGTTTCCTCCACCAACAGAGCGGTATTGCTGGTGACCTGGCCAACATGAGCCTGGAGCGTAGCGGAGAAGATGGCGCCATGAGGGACGACCGGGAGAGGAAGCTCCAGTGGGAGCAAGGCCAGGCCGACTACATGGGCGTGGACCGCTTCGACAACATCAAGGCACGGCTGGACGAGAAGATAGCTCAGCCCACCCCCTCTGGCAGTGGCAAGGCACCAGAGGATCAGCCACCACCGCCGTCTGAGGTAAGCCCTGTGACCCCACCAGAACCAGCAGCAGTGGACAGCCAGCCTCCTCCTAGTGGTGGACCGGAGCAGGGAGGGAGTAGTGACAACGCCACGGCTGTCGTCGTTACAGAGGGCTCGGATGGTGATCCTGCTGCTGCATCGGGTGCAGTGGTCGAGGTCCCTGATGTTGTGCCGTTGAGCCCTGCTGCGGGTGAAGGTATACAGTTGTCTGATGATGGTGCCGGGTCGACAGCTGTGGCGGCAGATGTTTCCCTCAGCTTGGAGGCTGGAGCAGATGTTGCACCGGCTGCAGAGGATAATGCCACTTCTGTTGTGGCTGAGGCAGCTATTGTCTTACCCCCTACCCCTGAGGTACCGGCAGAACAGTCTGATGCCCCAGAAAAACCTGCAGAGCAACTGGTAGAGCAACCCCCCACCCCAGAAAAACCTGCAGAGCAACCCCCTGCCCCAGAAAAACCTGTAGAGCAACCCTCTGCCCCAGAAAAACCTGTAGAGCAACCCTCTGCCCCAGAAAAACCTGTAGAGCAACCCCCTGCCCCAGAAAAACCTGTAGAGCAACCCTCTGCCCCAGAAAAACCTGTAGAGCAACCCTCTGCCCCAGAAAAACCTGTAGAGCAACCCCCTGCCCCAGAAAAACCTGTAGAGCAACCCTCTGCCCCAGAAAAACCTGCAGAGCAACCCCCTGCCCCAGAAAAACCTGCAGAGCAACCCCCTGCCCCAGAAAAACCTGTAGAGCAACCCCCTGCCCCAGAAAAACCTGTAGAGCAACCCTCTGCCCCAGAAAAACCTGTAGAGCAACCCTCTGCCCCAGAAAAACCTGTAGAGCAACCCCCTGCCCCAGAAAAACCTGTAGAGCAACCCCCTGCCCCAGAAAAACCCGTAGAGCAACCCTCTGCCCCAGAAAAACCTGCAGAGCAACCCCCTGCCCCAGAAAAACCTGTAGAGCAACCCTCTGCCCCAGAAAAACCTGTAGAGCAACCCTCTGCCCCAGAAAAACCTGCAGAGCAACCCCCTGCCCCAGAAAAACCTGTAGAACAACCCCCTGCCCCAGAAAAACCTGCAGAGCAACCTGTAGAGCAACCCCCTGCCCCTGAAAAACCTGTAGAGCAACCGCCTGCCCCTGCAAAGCCTATAGTGCAACCGCCTGCCCCTGCAAAGCCTATAGTGCAACCCCCTGCGGAAAAGCCTGCAACACAACCCCCTGTGCCTGCAAAGCCTGCAGCACAACCCCCTGTCCCTGCAAAGCCTGCAGCACAACCCCCTGTGCCTGCAAAGCCTGCAGCACAACCCCCTGTCCCTGCTAAGCCTGTGCCTGTAAAGCCTGCAGCACAACCCCCTGTGCCTGCAAAGCCTGCAGCACAACCCCCTGTGCCTGCAAAGCCTGCAGCACAACCCCCAGTCCCTGCTAAGCCTGTGCCTGCAAAGCCTGCAGTGCAGCCTCCGGTGCCTGCAAAGCCTGCAGTGCAGCCTCCGGTGCCTGCAAAGCCTGCAGTGCAACCTCCGGTGCCTGCAGCAAAACCTCCTGTGGAGCCCCCTAAACCTGTAGCCCAACCCCCTAAACCTGCAGCCCAGCCCCCCAAACCATCCAAACCTGCCGTGCCACCTCTAATAACTCCCAAGCCGTCTGTGCCAGCCCCAGAGCCCAAACAGGCCCCTGCACCTAAAGCAGAAGCAGCACCTGGTGTTGGCCCAAAACCCATGTCCCCTACTGGGCCAGCCCCAGGCAAGCTCAGTGCCAGCCTGGCATCACGGTTTGAAAAACCCTCCTCCCCCACCTCCCCAGGTGCCCCAGGTCCTAAACCCTCCAACCCGCTGGGTGCTCTGGCTTCCAGGTTCGAGTCCCCTGGTGCTAAACCCCCAGGGGTTCGACCCCCTGCTCCGGCAGCCCAAGTGCGGCCGCCGCCACCTTCTGATGCAAAGTCCCCCACGTCCCCCACAGGGACCAATAGAGAGGAAATGTTTGCCCGGTTTGGTGTGAGATTGCCACCCAAAAAGAAGTAAAACAGAGCGATCTTTCTGTCTCTCTGTACAGTCTAGATGCTTATCACTTGAGTTGTGTTTGGCTACAGTGTTTATTATTGCATGTACTACACTACATTTTCAGTCTGTTATCATCACAGTCAATGGTTGGAATGAGCCCCTCATAAGTCCTACTTCTTTTCCTTTCCTCTGTTATTCCTGTCCATCTTGCCTACTTTTTTCCCCAGGCACTAAATGACCGTTACTGTGTCAGTATGCTTCACTTTACTTTAACAAAACAGACTTCTTAACTCTGTAGATGTTTTTTCCCTGAAGTTTGGAGCCAAATGTCCCCTAGAGTTTCATGTAGATGATGATAAAGGTCCAAGACTCTAGACCACTTAATGTATTACTTAAAGGAAACACAACAGCTGTTTCACAAACTTAAAGATGCCTGTGGTGGTGTTCAGTTGCGGACATTCCAATGCTGAGAGTGTCATGACCTTATTGCTTTACCCAGTAAATTTCAGTCATTGACCAAGGTTGCTGGTTAGTACTGGAATACAGCACGTCTGAACTGATAGAGGAATAGTCTGGTGACATCAACTGTTGGTATTGATATCCGGTGTTAACATACACATCATCTTGTTTGACCATAGAACAGTTTCTCAACTTTCTAAGTGAATGCGCAGAAATGCCAATTGCAATTATCGGTCATTATTTCAAAATATGGACTGCTTCGTGTAAGAGTCCGCCATATACCATAGTGAAAAATGACGCATTGCGGAGTCTTACACCGAGCAGTCGATATGATGTTGAAATTGTCGGGAGTGCATTATTTTTTTTCATTTCGTGTGTGTTGTGGTTGGGAACAAAAATGATCTCCTAAGAATAAGGATCCCATGAGACTTTTATCTTGCTTGGCTCAGCCTTTTAAGAAAAGTTATATTTATGCATCAGCTCCCTGCATGACAGCTGATGGGGAGAGTTTTTTTCTTCAAAAAAAAAAAGAAGAAAGAAACACTCATGATGTGTTGAACACTTGCCCCTCGTCCATGACTTGTGTTGTGATGTTGTGATTGTTTTTCATTTTATCACATGTGGTGTTGAATATTTCTTTGAGACATAGAATCTGGAACCCTCTTGTAAGACGAGTACACAATTTTGTTGATTTTGTCTGTTTCTCATTTTACAGTTATGCATTTTTGAGTTTATTGTACACATTTACAGAGTGTGATCTCTCCATTCTTCCAACATAACCCATGAACCCCTAACAGTTTCATTTCCTTTGATCAGCTAGACTGTTGAAGTTATTGGTTTGGGTCTGATAGTTAGATGTGCTTGGTATTTGTACTGCATTGGACAGGTTTGTATCATGGGTAACATTAACATTTATTTTTTCAGCAGAAGCCTTCAGAGTGGAGCAAAGTTCAAGGGTCCCACAGTTTTTAATGTAAACTCTTGATCCCATAAGATTTTGTACTATTGTTGTCCTAAAGATCTTTAATGTTTTTCAATATTTTTGGTTTCTTTTGCGAAATGCCACCAAGTTTCAATACCATCTGTAACCATACAGTTTTTGTTCTGACAATCCTCTCATCCCCCATGTCCAGCTCCCCGGACTAACACAGTTTATCTGTTTTCTCAACAGTAACACTCTGTGACTGCTAAATGCATGCGTGTGTGTGCACAGTTATCTTCCTCCTCATCGTGGAGAATGACTAGACTCAAGTGGGAACCACAGTGTGGATGATGCACCATCGTCCTCCCCATGCCTGGTCCCCATGGCCGGCCTGTGTACCTGGTGCCTTTGCCTGCCCTGCTGGACGCCTCTGATAGATTTTTGTTTTCTTTTTTTTTTTGCTGGATGTTGTCGCATTCTGATTGCGTGTGCATGTTTATGTACTTGTGTGTGTATATGAGTGTGTGTGCTGTATGTAAAATATTCAAAGATTTTTTTTTCTTTGGTTTATGAATGCTTTGGGGAATGTCTAGACGAATGTTGGAGTGTTTGCACGTCTGTGTGTCTCTGTATGTGTGTTCTACTTACAGAAGATGTGTTCTGCCAATGTTTGGGTGGTGTTGGCTAGTGTTGGCTATCTTCTGCTGATAGGTACAAATAGTGAGTTTCTCTGATTTATTTATTGTTCTGGCTTTGAACTTTTTTTCTGGATGGTAATTGTTTTGTAGGTGGGTGGTTCTTGATATTTTCAGATAGAGATTAGAAAAGATCTTTGTCTGTTGAAAAGGATTTGGGTATATGTGGAGTCTTATGAACAAGGTTGTCTGTGAACTGTACTTAAACATGAAGTTCATCGCACTGTTGGATAGGACAAAACATCACTGTGGCAAACTGATTGCCTAGTGATAACCATCAAGTGAAATATCTGATCATCTGACTATTTGTCAAAATGTTGTTTGTTTTTTGTGCGAAAATCATTGAATAAATCTCTTATTATAGGAAAACTAATGTTGATGTTATGATGCTCAACATTGCAACCAATCATTGATCTAAACTTGTGCTGTTTGCTGGTTTGTAATATTCCTGGGTAAAAAGAAAACCCAATCAAAGTTGTAGGCTTTCTGTTACTTGCTGTGTCTGCTCTTGCTTTTGTTTCTCTCTGTCTGGCACAAGAACTGTTGCATGTAGGATGGTGTGTGTGTTCAGATTTGATAGTCGCTTGTTTTGGGGTTGTTTTTGTTTTTTAGTGTGTTTTTTTTGGTTTTGCTTCGCATTTGTTTTAATAGATCAGAGTCGGTGAGGTGGAGGGAATGTTTTGGCAGTGTGAGATTGTCTGTAGGGTGATTGTTATCCACTTCTGAATTTTTGCACTGTTTATTTATTTTTATTTTATTTGCTGCTTGATATTCATAAAGATTTGTTGGCATTTTCACCTGGTCTAGAATTATTTTTTTTCTGTGCACAAATGCGGTTTTAGAACTTCTGTTTTGAATCTGAGTTGATGAAATATACATGTCATGATTTGCTTGTCTATCATCTACGCAAGTTATTTTGTCTCAGATTTTTGTTTGTGGGATGCGCAATAAAGATGAAAATGTTTCATCATTTAAGCCAAAATGGTTATGACTGAAGTTATGGAAAAGTTGTTTTAATGGTGCCCTATCGAGTAGGCAGTTGGTACTCTGAGATGAATGTATTTTTCAAAATATTTTTTCCAGAAATCTGTTGTCTGTTACACTCTTTTAAAGAGTGGGACTTTATGAATTTTGTCTACTGTCCTTGTTGGGTGAGAGTCTGGTAGCATTTGGCTGTTTCCTTCCTTGCGAAGTGGATGACCCCTCAAGTATTATCTTTTATTGTTGATTTTACTATTTTACTTTCTGCCATAGCCCTGTTACAAATAATAACTTACACTCACAGTAGCGTATCTAAGTTTTGTGGTCAGCACCCTATACCCTTGTCTGTGTAATAAAATGTTTTGTTCTTTCACAGGCTACTCTCTAAGACTTTTTCATTGATTCTGTGTAGGTCAGTGCTGTTGCTTTTTAGTAATACCTTTTTCTGGCAACTTCCAAATTTCCACCTTCATGGGTTCTGATTGCTTTCACATGGCTTTTTTTTTTTTCTTCTTATCCATCAAGGCGGCCATTCTTCCAGCCAGGGCAATATCAAATGATGGACTGTTACTTGTTGACAAATTGTTGAGATTTTTTGTGTTTTTCCCCGTAATCTTTCCCATATATATATTTCTATATATACATATATTTCTATATGGTGCTAGTCACATTGCGTAGTCGTTCCTATCAATTCCTTTGTAATTGATTATTTCTCAGTGTAGCAACTCACTGTGTTTTCTGTTGTAGAGTGTTGTACCAGTACATCTGTGTGTTGGTAAGGGGTAAATAGAGGCTGAAGATGGCGCAAGACAAGACATATGTGGCATAATACGGTCTAAAATCTGTCGTATGATGTTTGTTCTTGCCCTATATAATATGTAGTGGGGTTTGCCCTGACCGCAACAAAACCTTGTTAGTTACCCCCCCCCCCCCCCCCTCCTTTGATCTCCTCCGAGCACCTTTCTTTTGAGTAAGATATTTTCGTATAAATGGGCCTTCAAAGTTCTGGAATATTCCAAAGAGCATTAATTCAATAAGTGTATATTTGCATTATATACTACTATATATATATATAATAAATATATATATATATATATATTAATTACTTATGTATAAATCAGGATGTGGTATTTAATCCTCCCAGTAGAATGGCTCAAATGATGTAACCTATTTACTTCATAGACTAAATCAATATTTGTTTAATTTATGTGATAAGTTTATAGACAGTTCGGAACTGTCCAGGGAAAGTATTTATTACTGCTCATGTCCTGTATGTGATTTTGAAACTTTGTGACCATAATAACATTGTGATCTACATAACCTAAATCAATTAATTGACACAGTAGGATAATTAAAGCTTTAACTTCTCTGTGAATCCTCTAAACAACCCAAAAGCGTCTTGATTGTCTAATAGAGACTCTCAGCTGTAAAGGACATAAGCACTGACAATTGGGAAGCTTCAAGTTGGAAGTGCAAATGTGCAGGTTTCAGAAATGGCTTTATACTCGTTTGAATTCTGCTGGGTAAACTTAGACCCGTTCAAATTTTTTGACAAATCAATTGAACAGTCTGAAATTGAAATAGTTTGGGTTGTTTTTATATCTAAAAGGGATATTGGTTTTCTGACTGTGAATTGGCTATAAAATGCAGCTGTAACAGGTGCTTTGCATCCATTTCAAACTATGCCCTTGTGCGTCGTTTCGGGTCATCTTTGTAGTGTTTTTCCCCACCCTGACACCAGACACAATGTCTGACAGGATATGAGTGGTAACTACTTAAGATGGCAATGAATCCAAAAGTTTATGGCTGTCTTCTCTGAGGAAAAGCGTAGCAGTTCTTTAATTTTACTCAATTGTTTTGTTGGTTTGAAATCCAGTCTTGCCAGGTTGATGGTTGTGTACAAAAGAAAGCTGCTGCATGGAAAGGTGTGGACAGTTTGCATTGCAGTACTTTATAGAGTAAATGTAACCATGTATATACCTGAGACTTATTTGGTTATCTGCAAGATACTATTTATCGGGTCTGATGTCGTACAATTTGCTTTAACAAAAACTTACTGTTTTGTGGATTTCAAGTGTTTTGTATATTAAGGTTATAGCATTTCAAACCATAAATTATTTTGCTGTGTTTATTGCGGTACCTTTTAGTGGGTATTGTGTTATAAATTTTTCTGTCCAGTTCTGAGTTATGCCTGTACATACATGTATGGTTCAGGTGGTCATTGCTTTGAATGCTTGACATTGTTCACAGTTATACGACATCGAGTTTCTTGTCTACTGACGCCATTTGAACATCTGACTGGTAAACCAGTGTGTGTTCCTGACTTGTTTGTTCCTTACTGTGTGGTCAGTGACATATATATAACTGCTGTGTTACAGTTCAGTTGTGGGTGTATTTTGTCTCTGTCAGTTCAGTAATGTGTGTGAGTGTGTATTGTCTCTGTGAAATATCACTGAGGAAGAGAGCGGATTTTCTCTGTACAGTTCCCCCCACAGTCTCTAGTAGAATTGCTGTGTGTGCCATTACTTCCCTTTCCCTTATTAGTCCCCACCATGTGAGACAAGACGAGACTGTTCAGCTTGAGGGAATGCCGGATGAGATGTCGTATGTTTCACGTATCTGCCAGTGAACCCTCAGCTGGTCAGCGACATTGTTGGCAAGTTGAGGCATTCTACCGTCTCTGGTGTGTTCTGTCTAAGTGTTAGGGACAAGGGAGAAGTTGTTTTTGCTGTAAAGGCACCGGCCTTTCCTACTTTGATGGCTGGTAGTATTATAGTCAAGAGCATTCATTACCTATAGCAAATTATATAATGTTTGTAACGTGAAAGTACATAGATTCATGCCCTCGACCGACACATGTTCTGAATTTGGCCGACTCCAAACTTGCTTCTTCCACAGTCGATGCTATCCTAATGTCTGTACTGTCTTCACCTCCCTAAACACCTTCTGTCCTCATGAATATGTTGAGAAAGTATATGCAGTATTAATTTCAGCTAAAACAAACGGAATGATTCGTACTGTTTTGTTGCTTTCTAAGTTAACAGATTTAGGGTTTTCTTTTGAGACCTCTTGTAAACAGGAGAATCTTTCATTTTGGTAGTGTGTTTGAGGTGCATTGTTTAAAATTGTTTTACAAAATGACTAGGTCTCTCTAACCCTTTATAGTTCATTTCTGGTGCCATTTATAAGTTGGCCAACTGTATTGAATTTTGTAGTGTATGAGATTGTAGCTCACATGATTGCTGCTAAATAAAAATAATCTTACTTTAAGAAGTGTGTTTTTTTTACTTGACACCTCCATGTTTTCTGTTAAGTGCTTGATGTACTTTATCCTCTATCCCCCGGCCTGTAGGTGGTTGGAGGGCGCCATTGTTGTGTCCTTTTTCTTTTCTTTTTGTCTTTTGTTTATGTCTGTCGATTGCTTTTTCCCTGCTATAAATTCCTCTTGTCCTATAATTGTTTTTTTACTCACAATCAAACTGACCAAGCCCTAGCCCTAGCACCTGTTGTGTTCTTTGCTTTCCCCTGCTTGACCTCAGGGGAAATCGACTGCCGGCCACAACCTACAGTGCTACTGATTTTCTCGTTCGTCACCAGTTCTCCTACTTAGTAGGACCCCTTGCCTTCAGGCAGCCACATTCCGATTTCGGAGGTATTCCAATTTGTTTTTATATCGACCAGAGTATTTTGAGTTTTGGTAAGAAATAATTTTGAATGTTGCCCGTGTGGCGGCAGAAGCCTAACTCTTACCTTATCGATTTTTTGACCACCAATAGATCTTTAACTTTAACATGCGCAACTTGCTCACGGAAACCACCGATATTGTTAGCCCTAATCTGAGAAGGATAATACTGTTTGTTCTGGCAGTCCTGTTTGTTATCGCCAAAGCCTACCTTATTGAAACTAGCCTGTTTTGAGTGACAGTGTGTCATTGGCAAGTTCTATTTCAAACTGTTTCGTTGTGTTGCGCAAAACGCACGGCTCTCATAGATGAATCAACTGCAACACTCAACCTCATTATGTTGTGTTAATTTGCAATTAATAAAGGCTTTCGGTATACATAGATTGAATAGATTCCGAGGAGATACGTAAGAAACATCTACAATCTTAATAGTGACAAAGAATACCTTGAGATAGGATCTGTTAAGCTGTGAAGGAAGGAACGGACACATTACAATAATTTTGTTCCGATCAGCACCTGATCAAAGGCAGTGTTCCGGCACATTTCAAAGCATTATACTCCCCAAATCACCAGTAAACAATTGCATGAATATTTCAAAGTACGCATGTTGCCTGTATCTTAACATTTTTAGATATATAGGCCTGGACACCAAGTAAACTCGCACAAAAAAGTCAAGGAACAACAATTCAAAGAAAGATAACTGAAAAACGGTTCAACCGAATTTATTCGTTTATTCCAAAAAGATGCTTTCGACTCTCTAGATTATGTGTGTACAATTTCAGATTTCACAAACAACGAGACGTTAATGAAAAATGAGCATTTTAACCACACTGGTCGGATTTAAAAAATCTGAACATTCATGGTTTTTCATGAACATTGTCAATAGTGGGTGATTAAACACTCGTACAGCATCGACGCATGGGCAGGACATGCCTTCGGAGAACTTGTTGCGGTAGGTTCTGCACTCCTAGGCGAGATAGCCCAAGAGTTGTTGAAAATTTGTGCAGGTGGGTTGTTCTCCCTTATACGCCGGTCTTTGCGATCCCAAGTGGTCAAATCTGCTGCAGGAGAGGAACAGCAAGGAGACGCAGGATTTCGTCCCTGTACCCTGCCGCAGTCAAATTGTCCCGTATATGCTACAGGGGGGGG